ACATATAGAGGAACAAAGAAAGAATATACAGACTTTGTGGCAGAAACTATGCAAACAGGAAAATAATGGAGTTTCATTTTTTAAATGCTGATTGGGGATCAGGGGAACCTGCAGCTGGATTCAATCTGCACTGAAAATATGTTATAAATAAATACAGACAGACAGACAGACTTTTCCAGACAAGTAAAGACAGAATTAACGGTAGACCTTCACTATAAGAAATTGTAAAGGAAGTTCTTTAGGCAGATGGAATATGATACCAGACAGAGATTTGTTCCACATAAAGAAATGAAGATCCCCAGAAATGGCTAAAATGGCAGTTAATATAAAAGAAATATTTTTCTGGAGCAAAAATTATAACACTATATTGTGGATTTGTATAAGGCATAAGAGTTAAAAGTATAACAATAATAGTACAAAATATGGGAGGTAGGAAGTACACTATTGTAAAGTTCTTAGATTATATGTGAATCAATCACTATTACTTAATGGTAGACTGTGATTAATTAAAAGTATGTACTACAAGGAAGTACATAAATATGCAAGGAAAATTTATTACAAAACTACAAAATACAACCTGTGGACCAAATCTAGCCTACCATGTCTTTTTGTAAAAAAAATTTATTGACACAAAACCACGCTCACTCATTTATTTATTGTCTATGGCTGCTTTCGCACTACATTGTTGCAACAGGGACCATACGGCACAACGCCTAAAATATTTTTAATCTGACAGGGAAAAAGTTTGCCAATACCTCTTATATAGGGTGACCCCTAAATAAGTGTTACCAAGGGATGGAATCTATAAAAAAAATCCAATTAACCCAAAAGTAGGCCAAAGAGAAAGAAACAAAGAACTGATTGAGCAAATATGAAAAAAAGAAAATGAGTATAGATTTAAATTCAGCCATATCAATGAACAGATGGAGAATTTCAGACGTTAAAAATAAATTGTCTAACCATGCCAATTAAAACACAGAGATTGCCATAGTACGTGAAGAAGAAAAAAAGAACCAACTATGTGCTATCTACGTTAAACACATTTTTCTTTTTTTGTTTCCTGGCTGCTGGTCAGTATGGGGATCTGAGCCTGTGACCTTGGTTTTATAAGGCTGCACTCTAACCAACTGAGCTAACCAGTCAGCCCTAAACCTACTTTAAATACAAAAATATAGACACTTTAAAAGCAAAAGAATGAAAAAGTAAATACCATGCAAAATCCAATTAAAAGAAAGCTAAGAAATGACTATATTAACATCAGAAAAGTAGCCCTCAGAGCAAGGAATATTAACCACAGATAGACAGGGATATTAGCTAAGGATAAAAAGATAATTTTACAAACACACACTCGCACCCTAAATGTGTATGTCCTTAACACTGAGCTTCAAAATACATGAAGCAAAAAGGTATAGTACTAAAATAAGAAATACAGAAATCTGCAATTATAGTTGGAGACTTCAACATTCCTCTTTAAGTAATCTATAGAACATGTAGACAGAAAATCAGTAGGAATATAAAAACCTGAATGACACTATCAACAATCTTGACCCAATTGACATTTGTAAAGCACACCTGTCAACCTGTGCACATGAAACATTCATCCAGACAGATCATATTCTGAGCATAAAACAAACCTTAACAAACATAAAAAAGAAATACAAAGTATGTTTTTTGGCCACAACAGAATGAAACTAGACATCAATAATAGAAATTTAGAAAATCCCCAGATATTTGGATATTAAACAACAAATTTCTAAATAACCAATGGCTTTAAGCAGGACTAACCGGAAATGACAAAATATTTTAAATTTAATAAAAATTTTAAAATGGCATATCAAAATGCATGGAATGCATCTAAAGCAATGCTCAGAGAGAAATTTATAACATTTAATGTTTATATTAAAAAGAAGAAAGTCTTAAATCAGTAGCCTAAGCCTCCATTATATGAAACTAGAAAAATAAAGGGAAAATTAAATCCAAAGCAAAGTAGAAGGAAAGAAATAATGAGAATAAGAGCAGCAACCAATGAATTTGAAGACAGAAAAATATGAGAGAAAATAAGTAACACCAAAAGCTGGTTCTGTTCAAAGATTAAGTTAATAAACCAAGGGGGGGGGAATGAGAGAGAGGACATTAATTATAAATATCAAGAGTGAAAAAGGACACATCACTACAGACCTTATAGATCTTTATTTTACATTGTGGTTTCTTTTTTCTTTTTCTTCTTTTGGACAGTTTCATCAGGTTGCTGTACATGTTTGCTTCAAGAATGTAGAAATTAAAATTTAGGAGGTAATAGTAATAGAATTTGAAAACTGCTTGAAAGGGAGAGAAGGAATAGGGAGAGGAAGTCGATTGGATGGAACCTTTACCTGAGAGGCCAAATTCATAATAGAAAATGTTTTGTTGATATGTGATTTTCTGGGGAATGTGAGTCTTAGTGAGATGGTGAATTCAGTTGGAGCATGCTAAGTTCTAACTTTCCTGAGAGATATCCAAATAGATATCCAAATATAGCAGGAAGATAAATATGTGTTTTAAGGGAGGTCTGGAGTAGAGATTCAAATTTGGGAGTCATCAGCTTATAGGTGGTATTAAAACAGCAGGAGGAGTTTGGTGATGTGTGGATTGAGAAGGATGAAGCCCAGGATGATGCCTCCTGACTTTGTTAAAGTTACTTCCAATTCATTGGTACTTCAAGACACCACGAGAAGTAGAGTCCCAAGTAGCAGGAAAAAGAACTAGAATAAACAACTCTGGACTTATGTCCTCAAAGAAGAACTTAGAACAGCTCACTGTATTAAAATTGGGATAGAGCTGTGTATACAAACAGTAAGCAAACACATGAAGGTACCTCATGAACTAAAAGCTGTTCAGAAAAGAGCAAACTTCCTAATAGATTTTAGTGGCTAGAAAATAAGAGTGATCAGAGGAAACATTTATCCAACAAGGGCAATATTGAAGCTGCCAAATAACCAGACTGTATTGTTAGAAATGGATTGTATTGTTGTTGTTATAGTGTAATTGTTTGTTTCCAAGAGTGTCATAAAACATTAAAAATAGATGATATTGATAAAGACTATGATGTTTTAAAGGTATTGTTAGAATGTTAATAATAAATATTATAGGACAAATAAGTAATACAGGCATATGTGTACAGGTATATATTAATACGGAGGAAATTGATTTTCTGCAGTTATCTAGAAGTGATATTCATACTAATATATGCTGTTAAAACTTGACTCTCAGTCTCCAGATTCTTGCTTTCTTTTTTGAAAGTCAAACTTGGTTTGGTGAGGGAGAAATGTTCTCTCCTGTTAACTCTCATAAAATGAGAATATTTTTTCTCCTAGTTACTTTGGCAACAAGGGCTTCCCCTGTATGACTGTGTCGACCTAAAGACTTTTAATAACATCTATGATTTCCTTTTAGTTCCTACAAAATAGTGTTATAATTTTATACTTTAATTTGCAAAGAATAGCAATTCCTTCATGGAGAAAGAGACTTTTAGTAAAGTTTCATGTGAACTGGAAATGGAAAGCTATCAGGTACAGAGGAAGCTTGAGGGAAGAGCTACTCCATCGCTGTGATGCGCTACGTGATTTCTCTCACAGCATCTTCTCTTTCTTTTTCACATCTGCTCTGATTGCCACTCTACTAACTGGCCTCCTCTACCTATTCATCGTTTCTGTTTCCTTATGAGTCTGTTTTGAATATAATTTCAGCTTGTCATAGCTCTCCAACTCTACCCATGGCAAACTTTTAGCTTCTTCTCCCACTTCTATCTGGCCCTTTATTTTCAACTTTAGGTTCATAAGAACAAGAATGTTTAATCTAGCTCATTTTTTCTTGCCAGTTTGTTTCATAGGTCTCTGCTAGCCTCAAGATCATCTGCTCTTTTTTCAAGTACCCACTCTCATCCAAATATCAGTAGCTTAATCTTTCAGTTCAAAACTTGGCCATTTTGGCAGAAATTTCTATTGATGAGGAATTTTCTCTTTCAAGTAGGTAACCACATAATAAGCATTCAAGGTTTGGCCTTTCCAGTATGCATTGTATAGACTTTAGTGCAGATTCTAATACATTATCTTATATAGCAAACTTCTGTGTTTTATAAATTAATTTTTCATATTTAGAAATATGTATTTTGGGGTGAAGTCAATTCTGTAGTATTTCCCAGCTTACTACCTTTCTCATCTAGAAATAGAAAACCCTCACCTGAAATATAAACACCTTAGTTTTCCATCCATGGTCTAGGTAAGCTGCAGGAAGCAGCCTTAAAGTATTTAACTTCTAAATGTCAGATCTTAGCTCTGATGTTAATTTCTAAATTCTACATACAATTTTTAACACTTTTAAAGAACTCAGTTCAGGCCCTTGGCCTCCATTTCATGAGGAGGAAAAGTTGAAGCCAGTGATGTTTCTGGGATAGTACAAGTTTCCCCGTATCTTTGCTCAAGGACTTGTATAGGCTTCCTAAAGTATAATGGAGTTGAAATTTTCTGTCCTTTGAGGAGGCCCTCCTGAACAAGGATTAATACCCACATCACTTTTGCCCACACATCTGGGCACTTGAATTTATTTTAAGCTCTAGATTTTATGACTTACCTTAGCATTTTGTGATTTATAGTGAAAATCCCAGCCAGTTCCTGGGAATACAGTCATAATCTCCTAAACTCTCTGTCCTCACCTAAAACAGTCCTTTGGCTTTCAATAATTGTCTACAATCAGGCTCAGATGTGCCATTTCATTGTTATGTAGTCGGGTGAATCTGGAAGTGGGAAGTTATATGTATTAAAGTGGGGAGATGGGTAGGGAAAGGTGGACATGAAAAAAGAACAAATCTAAGGGGAATGAGAAACTTCATACTTGATGCTAGTAGTGTTCAGATTTCTAAAGGAAATGGAAGGATGTTTGGCAATGAGAAAAGTCAGTCATGATTTTTAGAGGAAGGTTTTCTTCAGTACTTAAAAATGATTTGTTTGTTTTTAATTTTCAAGATGATTATAGAGCTTGGGACATTCAAAAAAGTGAACTTTATAAACCAGAACAAACTTACCACCCCCCTACTGTGAAATTTGGAAATTCAACTACATTTCAGGATGACTATGTTCCTCAGGAGATAAAGCCTAAGCAAAACTTTAAACCCTCCTCTGTGGTCAGACGTTCTATAATCCCTTTTAATGGTGATACGAGTCATCGCCTTGATTATGTTCCTCATCAGCTAGAATTAAAGTTTGCAAGGCCAAAAGAAGTTTACAAGCCCAGTGACCAACGCTTTGAGGATCTCACTACTCACCGGTATGACTTTCAGGGTCTTGTTGGTGAAACCGCAAAAATCTGCAGACCTGCATACACCAGAGTGACCCAAAATGCCCAATTTGAAGGAAGCACTGAATTCCGTGAAAGTTTTCAGCCTTGGGAAATCCCACCACCTGAAGTCAAGAAAGTGGCAGAGTATGTGCCCCCTACAGGAAGCATGCAGTTAAACAGCACAAGCCACCTGGACTATGTTCCCTATCAGGCCAACCGTGTTGTTCCCATCAGGCCAGTTTCTCATAGAAGAAATAACAATTTTCCTTTCCAAGGAAAAAGCACCATGAAGGAACATTTTCCAGCATGGGAAATTTGTCGTCAAGGACTTATTAAGAAGCAGCAACAGATTCCCAACCCATCTGGAAAATTTGATGGTTTGAGCACTTTCAGATCTCATTATGTGCCACATGAATTGATTCCAACAGAGAGTTGCAAACCTTTAAATGTTGCTTTTAAGAGTTCTGTTCCATTTGATGATGTAACCATGTACTCCATAGAGTACACACCGAAGAAACAGGAAATTTGCCCAGCTAGCTATCCCTCTCCTCCAGGTTATATATTTGAAAATACAAATTACCAAGGTCATAAATTCTTCCGCAAGATCACGCCCATCGTGAAAGCCTTCTAATCATCAAATTGTGCTTAAAATGATGCCAATTAGCAAGATATTGGTTTTCTAAGGAAAAACTCAATTTTTATAATGAAAAAAAATGATGAGAGAAATATAACAAATCGTTTTTAGATATTTTTAAACAAGAAAATTGGAAAATGTATCATAGGAGATTAGAAGAATCTTAAAATCCATTTTGTATTGATATTTTAATGAAGATTGTTCTTTAGTATTCATTTCTGAAAGTTGAATAATGTACATTCCCATCTGAACTACTTTCATACCCAACATACTGTTTGATCGTTTCTCCCCAATCTCTAGTAGTATTATTTATACCTCTGTTTATAATGTGGCAATTATATGTTTATTCACATAACAGTTGTCGCTTATCGAGCACATTAGGACTATCTAGAACAACATTGAAAATGGTACATGAACTCTTCTTCTAAGACAACGGGATTCGTTTTCCTTAGACTTCAGGGCACCTACATAGTATACGCCAAGTCAAGTTTTGGTTGGTGGCATTAGAGACTGCTACACTGCTCCTCACCATGTTCAAGTTAGCAAGAGGCATTGTGGGGTGGCAAGGAAAGGCTCTGTGGCTCGGAATTAGAGGACTTGAGTTCAATTCCAATGACATCAATTTTTATTTGTGCCACCTTAGGCAAGTGACTCATGACTCTGAGCCTCAGTGTCTTCTTTGTAAAAGAAAATGTCTTCTGCTTACTTCAAAAAACTTCATTTTGAGCATCAAATCATATGATCCATTTTAATTCGTAAAGTAAATCTCTTTTTGTACCTGTTTTCTGCTTTTAAAACTAGGATAATTACCTACTCCATACTCGTTTTCTGGCCTGAAGCAAGGATTGTAAATAACCTAATTTGCTTTGAAATTATGACTAGTATGTGCTTCTGAGAGGAGTCTTGCCCTCTAAAGCTTCACAAGCACCTGAGAAGTTATTACAGAGAATGGAGAGCTCGGATTGGGGTAGATAACTTGGTTTGAATTTGCAGAAACGAAAAAGTAGTTTTAGGAGGACTGACAGCTCTGAAGAAATATTCTGGGTAAACTTAGGTAAATTATGTACCTAATTGCCGTGCCCAAATATCTCTGTTCAGAAGCTGAGCCAAGCCCAGTATGGGGCATAATCACCTTGTTCACTTCTTCTAGTGTGAAGATAAAGTGCTAAGAGGGCAGAAAAGGAATGATGCCAGTTAGTGAAGTAGAAACAACATATTGCATTTATAAATGCTGAAAATTTCCTAAAGAATTAAACACATTGGTTTTTTTTAAAGTAAATGATTCCATTATAGAAGAACATGGCTTATTTTAGCAAAAAGTGAATTTTAGTCTTTTATGACTTCAGAATTGTTTCAAAATATATACTTTGAAAATAAATTCATTGATCTTTTGTTAACATAGTTCTAATTATTTGAAAGTAATTTGTCTTACATATATTTTTCCATTTATTAGTGAAAATGTGGTATGTGAAATTTTATATTTCTATGTAACATTAATAAAACATCAATAAAAGTAATGGATTTTCATGAAATTATTTCTGTACCCAATTTTCTTTGGAAAAGAGAGCTTTTTTTTTTTTTTTTTTTTTTTTAAAGATGACCGGTAAGGGGATCTTAACCCTCAACTGGGTGTTGTCAGCACCACGCTCAGCCAGAGAGCGAACCGGCCATCCCTATATAGGATCCGAACTCAGGGCCTTGGTGTTAATCAGCACCACACTCTCCCGAGTGAGCCAACAGGCCGGCCTGCAAAAGAGAGCTTTTTTTTTTTTTTTAAAGATGACCGGTAAGGGGATCTTAACCCTCAACTGGGTGTTGTCAGCACCACGCTCAGCCAGTGAGCGAACCGGCCATCCCTATATAGGATCCGAACTCAGGGCCTTGGTGTTAATCAGCACCACACTCTCCCGAGTGAGCCAACAGGCCGGCCTGGAAAAGAGAGCTTTTTAATAAAGTCCTGTCTAGGTTAATCTACCCATAAGTAGTTATTCTTACTTTTTTTAATAGAAAACATTATACTATATAATCAAAAATAAAAACTTTACTACATTATAAAACATACTATATAATCAAAATTAAAAATTAGAGAATACTACAGCACATCTTGGCCCATATTCTAGTGCTGGATATTCAAATTCCTCTGTAATTTGATGGGGACAAAAGTCACCCCTAAAAAGATATCTAGGAGGGCCTCCCTGAAGCAATTTGCCGTGGCTGAGAACACAGATAAATAATGGTATATCCCCACAATCTAACACTCAATGTAAAGTGTGAAAATAGAGATTGGAACCGAGTGAGCTGGGTGTAGGACTTTTACCCCGGGAGTTCAAGAAAGTCTCCCTTAAGGAGTTAACAGTTGAGCTGAGTCTTGAAAGATAAGTATGTGTTGGACTTGCAGAGGGAGAGAACATGCCTTGGGAACAAAGTGGAGTCGGGGGGAAAGGGGGAGGGGAAGGGAAGTTGGGGATAATTGGGTTGGGGACACAGGGTAAAATCGCAATTTCTAGCAACGGGCATGCTGCCAGTATGGATCTGGCCTTCACCTCTTGGGCACGAGGGGTGACAATCAACTTTGTATCTCATGAATATTCATAACCAATTTTTAAAAAAAGATAAGTAGCAACTTGCCGGATCAAGAAAAGTGGAAAGGTGAGAACAACATAAACACAGGTACGGAGTGATCTATATCTTTGTGCAAGAGTTAAAGAGACTTCCAGGATATGGCAGTAGAAATCTAGCGATCCCTGATTTATCCTCTTCGTAGGTCTCCTCGAAATACTATGCAGGAACACACACACACATTCACACATTTTAATAGCTCTGGAAACTAGTGATATTATTCAACAACCAACCTGCCAGATTCTAGGACTTTCCACTAAGCCAAACTTGGATGAATCTGATGAAGAAAGAGGGAAATTCAGAAAGAAAAGTCAGTAGGAAATTTCCACCCCCACCTCATCCCATTTTCACCTTGTCTCCCTGCATACCCTTGTTGTGGGAAATAAAACCACAGACTAAGAAATTAGAAAGGCTTCGTGGTTTGTAAAAAACTGTATGGACAACACAAAGAGTGAACCCTAATGTAAACTATGGACTTTGGGTGATGTGTCAATGTAGGTTCATCGATTGTAACAAATGTACGACTCTGATGGGGGGATGTTGATCGTGGGGGAGGCTACACATGTGGGGGGGCAGGTGGCATATGAAACTCTGTACTTTCCATTCAGTTTTGCTATGAACCTAAAACTGCTTTAAAAAATAAAGTCTATTTTAAAAATAAAATTTAAAAACCTTTACAGCAGGAAGAAAGGAGGGGGTGTTTACTAGTCAGAGGGTGGGAGCCCCATACGCAGCTTTTTTTTTTTTTTTGACCGGTAAGGGGATCGCAACCCTTGGCACGGTGTTGTCTGCACCACGCAGCTTCTTACACAAAACTACAATCCAGTGCCCTCTGTGACAGTTGCCATGGGAGAGGAAGAGCCTTACAAAGGGGAGAAAGGACCACTTACTCAGCAGAGAAGGGGAAAGAGAGCCTTGTAATAATAAGTTACCAAACTTAAGGCTGTTTAAAAAGTGTACTAACATGTTTATGAAAGGGTCACAGTACCCAATAAAACATCAAGAATCTTTTAATTTTTTTAAGGCTCCAGCTTTTTTTCTCTGCCTACTCAATGTTATTTCACATGGAAGTGCAGATTTTCACCCTGTGTCATAGACACAGGGCTTTCATCAATGTCTTCCTCCCCTACCGACCCATAAACATAGCACATAGTTTGATAGCTGCTCTCTAGGGTGGCTAAGGGTATTTCACCATCCTCTCCAAAGTCCCCACTAAGACTCCTTTATTTGTAGCCATTATGGAACTATAATGGCTAACAAGGATATGTGGCTAGGAGGTGCTTACAGATAGTAGGTAAGCAATAGGAAAAGCAAATCACAAAACCATGGTGAAAGTTCTAAACAGATACTTCACCAAAAAAGATACACAGATGGTGTGTTAGTTTGCTAGAGCTACCATAACAAAGTACCGCAAACTGGATGGCTTAAACAATAGAAATTTATTGTCTCTCAGTTCTGGAGGTGAGAAGTCTCGAGATCAAGGTGTCGACAGAGTTGGTCCTTCTGAGGACCATGAGAGAAAATCTGTTCCAGTCCTCTCCCTTCGCTTCTGGCGGTTTTCTGGCGGTTTTCTGGCATTCTTTGGAGTTTTGTGGCTGGTAGACCTCTGCCTTCATCTTCACATGGCATTCTCCTATGCGCATGCATCTGTTTTCAAATTTCCCCTTTTTATAAGGACACCAGTCTTATTGGATTAGTGCTCATCCTAGTGACCTCATCTTAACTTGATTATCTGCAAAGACTGTATTTCCCAATAAGGTCACATTCACAGATACTCGGGATTAGAACTTCGTCTATTTTGGGGACACAATTCAACCCATAAAGGATGGCAAATAAGCACATAAAAAGTTGCTCAACATCATTAGTCATTAGGGAAGTTCAAATTAAAAACTACAGTAAGACACTACTACACACCTAATATTAAAATAGCAAAGAAAAAAATGACACACAAACCTGACAATACCAAGTATTGGCAAGGATGTGGAACAACTGGAATATTCATACATTGTTAATGAGAATGCAAAATGATGCAGCCACTTTGGAAAACAGACAGTTTTTTACAAGGTTAAACATACACATACCGTATGACCCAGCAAACCCACTTCTAGGTGTTTATCAAAGAGAAATAAAAGCTTAGGTGCACACAAAATCCCATACGTGAATGTTTATAGAACTTTTTTCATAATCACCCCAAACTGGAAACAACCCAGATATATTTCAACTAGTAAAAAAAATAAACATTTATCCCTATAAAGCCAATTCAAGGAACAAACTATTGATTGACCCAACAGCATGCACGATACTTAAAAGCATTTTGGTAAGTGAAAGAAACCAGACCCTCAGAGGCTACAAGTTGTATGATTCCATTTATATGAATTTCTGGAAAAGGCAAAGCTATAGGGACAGAAAATAGGGGATCAATGATTTCTAAGGAGGTGGGAGATATGGGAGTGACTGACTGCAAAAAAGCAAAACAATGTAACTTGGGGGGGGGGACTATTATATAAGGAACTCACTGATTTTGTCAAAACTGTTAAAACACCACAGAGTGAATTTGTGAAGTATAAAAATTCTGTGACAAAAGAGTAAAACTTTACTACCAATGAATCACATAGCCACACAGGCTTGGGAAAAACTTACCTAAAATAATTTACCTAAGTAAATTTGTAAAACAATATTCAGACCGGACACTATAAAACTAAAAACAGAAATATTTGTATACAAACATGGCACACTAGTTGGTAATTTTTTCCTTGCACAGGGGTGTGTGCTAGCAATTCTAAACTGTTTTATGGGTATACTAAGGTTGAACTGAGAAAATATATTGTAATAAGAGCCAGGCTTCTCACTGTAAGAGAAAGGAATTACAGAGAAAAAGATGCAGACTGTAATTTGTTCTATGGTGCTGAATTAGCATCCAAAGTTCCAGTATGAATCACATAAAAAGAAGTAAAAATAGATGAGCGCGTGCATTTACAGGTAGGTATATATGTACTCAACCTACAAAAACTCCCAATGGCCAAAGCTGGGAAAATTTGAGCAACAAAATAAATAACAATAGTGTTGGATTTGTTTTCTGACTTTCTTTTACTATAGTAAAATACACATGATATATGATTTACCATCTTAACAATTTTAAGTGTTTCAATACATTAATAATGTATTAAATACATTAATAACGTTTAACCATTACCATTATCCATCTGCATATACCCATTGAACAATAACTCCTCATTGCTCCCTCCTCCCGGCCACTGGCAACCACCATTCTAGCTTCTGTCTCTATGATTTTGACTAAGTATGTCACGTAAGCAGAATCATCTGTGACCTCGACACATTTAAAGAGTACTGGCCAGGGACTGTGTAGAATGTCTCTCTGTTTGGGATTATGATAGCATTTGGATGTGTTGTCCCCTCAAAACTCATGCAGAAACCTAATCCCCAATGTAGCAATATTGGGAATGGTTTGAGCTATGGGGGTGGATCCCCCATGAGTAGATTTACACCCTTGGTGGGGGGGGGGTCATGAGTGAGTTCTCCCTCTATTAGTTCCCGTGAGAATTGGTTGTTTAAAAGGATTCTGGCACGTCCCCTGTCTCTCCCTCTCTTGCTTCCTCTCACCGTGTGATCTGCTTGCACCTGCCGGTTGCCTGCCACTGTCCACCATGAGTAGAAGCAGCCAGTGGCCTGAACTAGATGCAGCTGTCCCAGAATCGTGAGCCAAATAAACTTCTTTTCTTTATAAATTACCCATTTTCAGGTATTGTTATAGCAGCACAAAAATGGACTAATACAAATTATCT